AACTAAAAAAGTCATTTTTTTGTTTTTTTAATTACAAAAACGTCAAGTCTGACGTTTTTAATAAAAAAATCAATTTTTTTTATATTTAATTATAAAAACGTTTGATGACCCGACCCAAAATTTTCGAGTCAATCTGACAGTATAATGATTATAACTCACTAATAATTACCAAGTTACTCTAGTTTCATTAAAAAAAAATCAGTAGTCCAGTTTTTTTATTAATAAAAACTGATATACTGATTTTTCTTAATAAAATCAGTTTTATTTTCATAAATAAAAATCGGTAGTCCAATTTTCAGTTTTTTTATTAATAAAAACTGATATACTGATTTTTCTAATAAAATTAGTTCATTTTATTAAAAAAAACTGGTATGATGATTTTTTAATAGAATTAATTTTTTTTTATTAAAAAACCATGATAGAACAATTTTTTCATTTTTTTTATTTAATATAATCTGATTCAGACCTATTAGATCGGACACCAATTCAAATCTTAATCCGATCTATATAGAATCCTAGCTGTAATGCTAGAAAAATTTAAATCAGATAATCAGATCAGATGATCTTTTTTTACTTCAATGAAGTAAAATGGTGAGTCTCGTAATATTTTATTACGAAACTCTAATTTTTTTTCTAAAAAAATTTGAAACTTTTATTTAAAAAAATGTTTTACCATTTTATATAATATACAGTATTATAAGGATTTCAACTTGTAAAGTTACAGTTTTGTACAGTTTATAGTACATGAGTTTTTAAATTTTTTTTATTTTCACATATTTGTTTTTTAATTTCAGGTTATAATTTCATCATTTTAGCCAAATAAAATCAACTTTCTGCAGGATTGAAACTACTTGAATATTAATTTTCATAAATGTAAATATAGTACTTGGAAAAAATTACATTTTCTTGAATTTTAACTTTTTTCTTTGTTTTCTAATTTAGAGCGCAATATCTTTACTTTGGTCAAATGAAATCAACTTTCTTTATTAATTGAAAGTTGTTCAGACATGTTGAAACTACTTGAATATTAATTATCATGAATATAGATGTAATACTTGAGAAAAAATTGCTTTTTCTTGATGATATTAACTCTTTTTTTTATTTTTTAATTTAGAACGTAATATCTTCACTTTAGTCAAATGAAATCAATTTTCTTTATTAATTGAAAGTTGTTCAGGAGGGTTGTAACTACTTGAATATTAATTTTCATAAATGTAGGTATAGTACTTGAAGAAATTGCATTTTTCTTAGTGATATCAGTCAGTAGAAATGTTACACAATTGATAAGGAGTTTTTTTGTACTAGTATGATATCATAATAAAAATTTTAGCGTAACATTGTCTTTAGATGTATATTACGTATTGTATGTAAAATTTTATTCACTAGAATTAGTTCAATTAGTTAAAAATTAACGATCTTTAAAATATAATGCTGGCCAAAATTTTTGTAACGCTGACCAAAAGTTTCGCAAATTTATAATACTGGCCTAAATTTAGTTAAAATCAAAAATTTTAAGTTTGGGTAACATCACATTTGTACAATGTAACACTATTATAAATAATTATTGGCATGTTCTTAAAAATATTTTTATATATTTTAAAAATTCAAAAATCAAGTTTATTCAGTTCAATCTGTCCAAAGAAAGTTACCCATTTTTGTTTGTTTATATAGTAAATAAATAAAACTTTTATATTTTTATGAAAAAAGACATGTTTATACAATGTAAACAGTTATTTACAAGTTTGTAAGAACTTTTTTATATTTTTAAATTTTATTCTGTTCAATCTTTTCTTCTTTTCATTATTTGTTTATTCATATAGTAAACAAATAAAAATTAATAAAAGTTTTTATCTCTTTGGTGCCATTTTGACGCGAAGTTGATAAATTTATAATATTTTACAATGTTGAACTTTGAAATTGACAATAATTCTATGTTACCATGAGAATTTGGGTTGAAAAATGTTGGAAGGGATGGTGAAAATGAAATATTTGGAGAATTTTTTGAGGAAAATGAAGAAGATAATGAAATAGAATCATATGCGGGTGAATATGATAGTGAAATTGAGGCAGAGTTATTAGAAGAAAACAATAATAGTGATAATGAACAAAACACCAACAATGAATGCGAAGGAGAAAGGAATGAAATAATTCCAAATGATATGGATGGAGGACCCATTTGCAAACCATCCAATGTACAATCTGTTTCATTAATAACACCATGTGTAATAATTGATAATATTCAAGGTACAATTAAATGATGTGGCAAAACTTACAAGCTTAGAAAGATACGAAATTTATAAGGAACATTGCAAATAGATCGAGATGCAGTTCAACAAGTCAACAATAATTATTTAGGAGTTTGTGATTCACATTTTTTATATGATCAAAATCAAATTCACAATCCCAAAGATAAAATATTAAAAGAATTTACGACTTCAGATGCTATAATTCAACATTGAAGATGTATAGGATGCAAACAATATATAACTTTCTATAGCCAAGGGGAAGGATGCAGTAACCATTCCTGGTTGGTTAATGGACGAAATGTCCAAGTACCCTGCAATGGATTGGTATATTGTAACGCATTAAAGAAACTTTCCTGTTAGAACAATCTTTAAAAATAAATAAACCAAGATGTATCTGTTGCAGTTGTTATGAATGATTGGGCGGACATATTCACAAACGTACAGGTCGAGGTAAAAAATCAAACTGTAATAGATTACATGAACAAGATATCACAAAAGGAATCAATTTTATTGCAAATTGGCTTATTAAGATTTCACATACAGACGAAGATTCCTTTTCGTCTCCCATCACTTCTTTTCGTCTTCCATCATTCCTTTTCGTTCCCTATCACTCCTTTTTGTCTCCCATCGCTCCTTTTCGTCTTCTATCACTTCTTTTTGTCTCTCATCATTCCTTTCGTCCCCCATCACTCTTTTTTATCCCTATCACTCCTCTTCATCTTCTCATCACTCCTTTTTATCTCCCATAACTCCTTTTCATCTACCATCATGCCATATTTCTCCTTTTTGTTAAAGGAGAGATCAACAATTTGTATATTTATAAATTGAAGTCATTTTTTTTTACAATAACTTTCACTTAAAAGATCTTTTAAAAGTATGTCAAACCGCCTCTCACGAAATGACCTCTTGTTTAGAGCAATATATACAATGCTTTGATCCATGATTTATTCAATCTAATATAGCTCATCATAATATGAGAGATTATAGAATTAATGAAGAATTTCAATTTTCGACAGATACTTTAATAGTATAAGAATGGAGTATTTACTGTGAATTAAATAAACGGAATTTTTTTGTAAAGATGAAAATTGTAAATAAAATAAATAAAAATCGATTCTGAATAAAAATTATATATTGTTTAATGTTAATTCTGGCTAAAATCAAGTTAATTTCGGCCAAAATTATGATCATGATTTTCGCGATGAAATCGTGAAAATCACATGTGATTTTTAAGACCATCATGACAACCCATTCTCAAGTGAGTCAGATCCGCCCATATGTTTTTGCTATAGTCTCATGATATATTATTAATGGCAGATAATTACTTTATTGTTGATATTAATTGATCTTAGGAAAAAAAACCTTTTCACGTTGATCTTTTGACCAAAATACAGCTAACGAACTTCACATAGAAAAATATTTTTTCAGTAAATAAACATATAAATTTTATTAAATTTTTGAACTCTCCGACGTGAAAAGCATAAAACAACATGGCAGAAAACACTCGCTCCAAAAATACTAAAAGACAAAACTAAAAGATACAATTTGAGAACCATTCTATAGAGCTCTGCACGGGTAAGGGTCAATTCGGGTGACCCGTCGGGTTGACCCGAAATATTCAGGTCAGGTTGTCAAATTCATGACCCGGTATCAGGTCGGGTTACAGGTTTGACCCGACCCGATTGACCTGTTAACCTGAATACTTTAGCTCAAAAAAAATGTTTATATTCTGAAATGGCGTTTTTTCATGTTACCTTATGAAAAAAATGCCATTTCGGCATTGTTTTTTATAAACAAATACGCTGAAATGGCGTTTTTCATTTTATTTTATGGAAAAATGCCGTTTCGGCATTTTTTTCACTTCTTTTATGAAAAAAATTGCCAAAATGGCATTTTTTCATATTATTTTATGGAAAAATGCCGTTTCGGCATTTTTTTTCACTTCTTTTATGAAAAAAAATCGCCAAAATGGCGTTTTTTCATATTATTTTATGAAAAAATGCCGTTTTGGCATTTTTTTTCACTTCTTTTATGAAAAAAATCGCCAAAGTGGCTTTTTTCATATTATTTTATGGAAAAATGCTGAAACGGCATTTTTCCCACTTCTTTTATGAAAAAAATTGCCAAAACGGCGTTTTTTCATATTATTTAATGGAAAAATGCCGAAACGGCATTTTTTCACACTTCTTTTATGAAAAAAATCGCCAAAGCAGCGTTTTTTCATATTATTTAATGGAAAAATGCCGAAACGGCATTTTTTTCCACTTCTTTTATGAAAAAAATCGCCAAAACGGCGTTTTTTCATATTATTTTATAGAAAAATGACCTGAATACTTTCAGGTCAGACGGGTCAGGTCGGTCAGAGCAGGTTACCCGACCTGACCCGACCTGATAAAATTTTTCGGTTCGGGTCAGACAAATTACCCGACCCGATCTGACCCGTGCGGAGCTCTACCATTCTAATCTATCAGACGAAGAAATGGTCGCAGAAACTTATAAAACTAATGAAAAAGCTTCGTCTTCAACTCAAGCAACAAAAAAATTAAAAAAATCTGAAGACTCTTCTTCACCCTTGTCTCCAAATAATAATGACAATAATATGATTATAGACGACAAAAATGAAATAGAACACCCAATTTCTTCTGAACCTGACGTCTCGTCACGTGACGTATCTACAAATGATTCGCAAATACCAATCATTAATAGCCAAGATGCAATGGACACAGATCTACCAGAAAACAATTCAGATAAAGGAATTACACAAGGATCTACAGATACACAAATTACATCTAATACAAACAATGATGTAAATTCATATAACTTAGATATTTTTAAGGAATATACACTACTTGGAAAAAAGTAGGCGGACACCATATTTATTAATTACTCAAAAACGTACATAATAAGTGGGGTCAAAATTTTAAATTTTATTAGTTAAACCATATACAAAACTAATATTTAGTTGGCCATCCATTATTCTTAATACACGCCTCAACCCTGCGTGGCATACTTTCAATTAAATTAATTAACGTATTATTAGGAATTTGATTCCATTCTTCATGTAAAGCACACTCCAATTCTCTCACATTTTTTGCAGGATTGGGACGTTTTCTAATGCGCCTTTCCAGCTCTGACCATAGGTGCTCGATAGGATTTAAGTCAGGTGACTGACTCGGCCAATTTTCTAAAATTTTAACCTTTTTTGTTTCTATCCATTTTTTAACATTTTTAGCGGTGTGGACAGGGGCGTTATCATCTTGGAATAAATAACCTCGTCCATTATAATTATTATTAATAAATGGAAGTAAATGTGATTCGAGTATTTGTATATAGTCACGATGGTTCATTTTACCATTAATTTTTATTAGCGGCCCTAACCCCTTTCCTGAGAAACAACCCCACATCATTACACCTCCACCACCGTGTTTTATTGAAGGAACCATGTTTTTAACATTAAACCTTGTTCCGGGGGTTCTCCAAACACGACCTGGACCATCATTTTTAAATATAGTAAAGCGGCTTTCATCGCTCCAAATAACTGACTTCCATTTTCTAACAGACCAGTCTTTCCTTTCAATACACCAGTTTAAACGATTTTCTCTTTGTTTATCATTAAGAAGAGGTTTGAATGCTGGAATACGTGAAAAAATATTAAGTTCATGCAAATTTTTCCTTATAGTCTTGGTAGTAACTTGTAGTCCAGTTTTCTCTTGAAAATTATTTTTTATTTGTTCAGCTGATTGACGATTATTTGTTTTGACAATTTTTTTTAATGTTTTTTGGTGTTGGCAATTTAAAAGTTTAGGACGACCACTTCGTGGCTGAGTTTCAAGACTTTTTCCTTCACAAAAGATTTGAATAGTTCGGTAAACTGCTGTTCTAGAAAAGCCAAGCATTTTAATAATTTTTTGTCTGGTGGCGCCACCTTTAAATAGACCAATAATCTGGTTGCGTTCAGCTTCCGTTAAATCATACATGGTGCGAAGTAGTACAAAATCCTAATTTGTCGATCACATTTGATGGTTGTCTATAAATGAAATAACAATTACGTCATTGTTTATTTATACCATAAACTATCACGTGATAAAATTTCAGCCCAAATTATTATGTACATCTTGGAGTAATTAATAAAATATGACGTCCGCCTACTTTTTTCCAAGTAGTGTAACTCACGTTCAGACAGTCAATATATATTATTTTTCACGAGAGACCAATTTGATAAAGAAAAATCAAACAACGAAATTCTCAATGACCTAAAAAATGCATTTTTAATGGAAAATGACATAATTGAATACAAAACCAACAAAAAAGCCACCATAGAATTCTACACTATTCTTATTGGTACAGAAATAATGTTCAACAAACTTAAAGAAAAACCTGTAGCATTGTTAAACAATACTACGCCAAAAATTTATTCTCGCGATGCTATAGACAACCTGATTAATTACGATATCAACAATTTAAGGGCACGCTCAGTCAATTTATTAAATGTGCCAATCAACTATGATATAAATCTTTTAATCAAACATATAGCCAACTTTACCAGCAGCGCCATTGACAGTTATAAAGAATTTATCTCCAATAGACATATTACCAATCGCAATTTACCATCTAGAATTAAATACAATCTTAGATCGCCTACATACAAAAAAGTTACGCTTATATTCAACAAACCGAATGCAGTAAAATACTTATTATCACAACACAAATGGGGCATTTTAATAGAAAATTTTCTCATCAGAATTGTACCTATAGACGAACAACAACATAATTTTAAACATAGAACTACCCCTACGTATATAGTTACAGGGATCCCCCTCAATGCTAATGTGTTGGATTTAATTCCTTTAACAGATCATCTAAATGCACGATCCATCGAATTTCTCCCTACTAAACCAGTATCACTACACAAAGTAGCTAACATATATTGTAATATTGACGATGATAATCACGTACATATACTAAATTTGACACAAACTTTCAAGGATTCCAATTACATATTTACCCTGCCCAGAAATTTAATCTAAATAACACTTGTGGCTACTGTGGAAAGGAAAATCACAACGTCTATAATTGTAGCGAAACAGATTACACAATTATCCCACATAACAAAGAAAGAAAATATAGGAAAAAATTCTTGAAAAGACAAAACTCCTATACTCTTAATGATAATATTAAATCATTTTATGATCAAATCAAACCTTTAATGTCTTCACAACGTAACCGTCCTAGAGTTTGGAACCGGTTGTATTTTCAAAAACCGAATTTAAAACGGGTGCAACCGGTTTGACCCTTTTCAAACCGGTTTTTACAAAATCGGTTAAAACCGATTTGTGCACCCGGTTTATATTTATTGTGATAATTATATCATGATAATTATGGTAAATAAATACAAAGTCAATCACATTCTGATTTTATTTAATTAACTTATGAAATTATACTGCGATCTACATTTGAATCAGATTTGGAACAGGTTGCTACTAATTATTTCGCAACAAACTACATCATAATTAAATAGTTCGTTCTCATGAAAATAATTCATGAAAATAAATTCACACGGTATTTTAACTACTATATCAATTTGCATCCTAAAAACTTAAACATTTTTTTTTTACTATTAATAGTTTAAAAAAATGTCAAGCTCGCCATCTACATTTTCTGATTCTGAAACAATTGATGACACCAATTCCACAATATCTGATGGTGACACAATCGCACAAAATCAACGCCAAACTGTATCAACCCGAAAAAACCGCAGCCATACATTATTTTTTTTTCGTATAGCAGGAGAATTTGCTTATTGTAAAATTTGTGAATTAAATTATGTAAATACAAATAAACAAGTTTATAGCTATAGCCGGAAAGGTGGGAATACAACTAACCTAATAAACCATTTAAGGGATAAACATGGAATAACGAAGGATAATTATTTGGAATACCTGGATGAAAGTGAAGAGGTATTTTAATTTATAATTAAATCATATGATATATACAAAAAAACTTATGGATTATATTAATTATCTTACAGCCATGTGTTGAACTCACAAATCTTAATTCATCACCATGTTCTTCTAAACGACAAGAACTAATTACCAGAAAAGTTACTACTTTTATTGTCAAGAATGTCCAACCTTTATACATTCTACAAAACCAAGCATTTCAAGATCTTTTATTGACATGTGAGCCGGGTTATAAAATCCCTTGTGATAATTCTATTAAAAATGTGCTTTATTCAGCATACACTTGGAGTAAAGAGCAACTTCAGTCCTTGTTAAGAAACACAGCAGTAGCAGTACATTTAACAACTGATCTTTGGACATCCAAATCCCGGCATAGCTATATTTGTGTAACTGCAACATGGTTAACTTCAGATTTTGAATTCCAAGAAGCTTTATTGTCATGCAATCACCTTTCTTATCCTCATACTGGTGAGGTTATTTGTGACGAATTGTTTCAAATATTAGAAAATTGGGATTTAACTACAACAGCTTTTACAATAGCCACTGACAATGGCATGAATATGGTAAAAGCTGTTCGTTTATTAAGAGAAAACTATCTTGAACAAATTCAACACCAATCTTGTGTTGCACATACTTTGCAACTTTCAGTAATGGAAGGTTTGAAGCAATGTAAAGCATTTCATCGTCATATAAAAAGTTTACAGACCTTTTTTCGCTTACCTAAACAAGCAGAAAGACTTCATGCAGCACAACAGAATCCTCAAACAAATTCATCTGAAAATGAATATGTGAATCCACTAGAAGTTTTGACAGATGTCAAAACTCGGTGGAATTCAACTTATTTAGCATGGAAGCGAGTTCTTGAGTTGCATAATTTTATGAGAAGTGTATCTACAGATTTACTTTCAAAATCTGACCGAGCATCACAAAAAGAAGGTGAAAAATTGGAGCGATTATGTTTAACCCCAGATGAAAAAATATAAATTTTCAGTTTGTTTATCTTTTCTATACAAATTTAAATTTTTATTAATGTTTATACTTTTACAATAGATTTCTCCAACAAATGGTCATTACTTTGGAACCTTTTGAAACTATAACACGCAAAATTAGTGGTGCAAAATATTCAACATTAAGCCTTGTTGTTCCATATATATATATACTCAAAAATAACTTTGCACCTAATGAAGAAAATGAAACCTTGGAAATGTATCTTAATTTAGTTTATGGTTCTAATGGTGAAGAAGAGGATTCTGAAATGGTTAGTGATGATGAATATATTCCATCAGGTGCCCTATAAAAAAAGAAAATTCAGAATTTGTCCTGAAAAGTATGGAAAATGTCCGGAAATTTTTCGTGCGTCCAGAAAACATTCGGAAACGGTCATGTTTTGGAACATTTTCCGGACGCTCGATTCTGGACAAATTCTGGACAAATTCTGGAGTGTCAAGAAAATGTCTGGAATTTGTGCGTCCGGAAAGTGTTCCAAAACGTGACCGTTTCCGAATGTTTTCCAGACGCATGAAAAATTTCTGGACATTTTCCATACTTTTCAGGACAAATTCTGAATTTTCTTTTTTTATAGGGGTGGGACAAGACAACATTGGCAGTATTCACATCGTCAATTTCATTATCAAAGACGTGGAAATACACAAAATCGAGGTCGAGGTCGAGGTCGAGGTCGTAGAAGGGGTGGAGCATCCACATCTCATCCAGTTGAACCAAATTTGGATGATATAAATATTGTAGAATACTTGCAACCAGTAAATACAGAAGGCTTATTACAAAAAGTTCGTGCAGCCATTTACTTATCTTTGGATGAACTTTGGCCGGTGCCATCTAATATTATGCTTGTTGCAACATTTCTGGATCCTCGTTTTAAAAACTTTGATTGGTGCAATGGCAATGATAAAGATGAAGCTAAAGAATTAGTTCAAGTATTATATAATGATGCAAAAAAGGACATTTCACCTAGAGATAGTATTAATAGCATTATTACTAGTTCTTCAGATGATGATGATGATATTTTCAAAGCATTAAAAGGTAAGGAAACAAATGTAAGAGATGATGATGAAGTTGTACTTTATTTGCAACAAAAACAAATCAGATTGAAGGATGATCCATTAAAGTGGTGGTCAGTTAATGAAGTTATTTTACCAGTTTTAGCTCAAATTGCAAGAAAGTATTTATCCATTCCTGCAGCATCCGTGCCAAGTGAGAGACTATTTTCGGACGCAGGCAACCACATTTCAGCTAGGCGAACTCGATTGTCTCCAGATTTAGTAGACAAAATGCTGTTCTTAAAGAGAAATAGTGATATTTTTGATATTTTTCCTCCATTAGATTAGTTCAATAGCTGTAATTTTGGTTTTTGTATATAAATTTAGCTTAATAAACGATATTGATTAATAAAAATACGTTACGCAAAATGATCAGCACTTAAAAAATTTATTGTGCCGGAAAAAGTATTATATTTTACAAAAAAAATAATACAATTATTTATTTATAATTTTTTTTTATTATTATTTTTTATAAATTTTATTTAATTATATACATATAAAAATTTACTATCTAACATTCTATTTTATAAAATTGATCGGAGTTAAATTTAAAATTGAGCATAAACTTTTATTAATATCAAACCGGTTTGGACATCCGGTTGCACCCGCTTTAAACGCAAACCGGATTTTGGAATATGAATCGGGTCAAACCGAATTGTCAAAAAATCGGTTGGAACTGAATTTTAAACCGGTTGGTGCAACCGGTTCCAAACTCTAAACCGTCCTAATCTAAACGGTCACCATATTACAAGACCATTACCTAACCATGGTTACTAAAATAAAACACCTCATAATTCTACTACTATTCCTTGTGATAAATGCCATAATCGTGGTCTCGCATCTCATTCCACAATCATACCAGATAACGACATGAACAACTGGGATGTTAATCCACATAACGCTAACGCCACCAAACCCACAATCAAAGGTAAACAAAGGGCATCAGACAACTCCAACAACGATGAACTGCTTAATAGAATTGCCCATTTGGAAACAATTATTAAAGATCTCAACTCAGAGGTAATGGGCTTAAAAATTACAGATAAACAACATAAAGAGGATATTACATTTTTAAAGGAACAAGAAAAACGACATGCAATCAACATGGAAAAACTCAATCAACATTTAACAACGATCAATGAGAATATGGTAAAACAAGCCGCTACAATTAGTGGTGTGCCAAAAATAGTATCCTTCCTCGAAACCATGGAACAGAATGGATTTTTCTCACAATTTAACGATAACAACTACACGTATGGATCAAACAACTACAGTTATCCTCCTCATGATGAATTCGTCACTGAAGAACATCTTCAAAAAGAATATAATGATTCACAAAGCGGATATGAATCATCTAGTACAGTTGAAACTCATAACGTATTCCCAGACACAGACTATACTCCTTCAAGACCTACAGGAGGTTATCCCACTATCACTTCTTCCATCAGTAACAAATTTGGTAATATGCTTGGCTTAGGCCACAGGCAACAATAGTAGATTATAATCTACCACATAACGAGTTATATCTCTCAAACTATCAGGGTGGACTAATGATGGACACAAATTTATTTGATACCGATCGGCCTCTAAACCCGATCAATAATTTTTCTTCTATTTCTTCTTCACTTAATAATTCAAAAAACCAAAAAAATCAAAAAAATCAAAAAAAAAAATTATAATAACAATGATAAAACAACCAAAAAAAGAAATTATATGAAGCTAGGGTTTAAAGGGGATTTTCTGGAATATTCAAATTTTAATACATCTTCTTCGATCAACTTTGCGACTTTAAACCTACAAGGAGGTTTTGAAATAAACAAAAAACATGATTTGATTACATATATAATTGATTCAAATATTCATTGTTTACTTTTAACTGAAACTCATCTGAAAGACCCTAAAAATATTCCTACAACACGCCTTAAAGCAACACCGTTCAAATATGTACAAAACAACGATAATATAATTTTCTATATTATTCATAATCCTTCACCTACACAATCAGCAAGTGGTGTTTCAGTTATCTTATCTTCATTATTATACCAACGTATTCAAAAAATTGAACATATCCCTGGTCGTCTTATACACATTACCTTTTTCTTTAGAAGACACGAACAATTACATGTCTTAGGAATTTATTTACCTCTGATAACGTCATCAAAAAATAATACTGAAACACTAAAATCCATTAATATGTATATTAAAACACATTTGGATTCAAAAAATCAATTCAAAAAAAATATTATCATGGGAGATTTTAATATTAATCCTCATAAACCCAATACGACGTTAATGACAAATGATATAGAAAACAATAATAATGGTGATGTGACGTTAGCGTTTTATCACAAAAAATTTTTAACAATTTTACAACAACATACTTATAAAGATATCGTTAAAATTTATAATGATACACCTTCTTATACTTTTAAAAACACTTCAAATCATACGTCATATATAGATATAATCTTTGTTTCACCTAACCTTATTTCTCATACAATTTGTGCTTCTATAATAGATGCCCCTATACATACCGATCATAGGTTAATTTTGGTTGCTTTAAACCATAAATTTTTTAACCCATCTAATATCAATTTTATCAATAATACACCAGATTCTATAGAATTAAATAGAAAAAATTCTTTAGCACATAATGAGAGATATAATTATAAGAAAATTATGAAAGATCAATGGCGAGATTTCAAAAATTTTGTTTGGGATAATTTCTTATTACGTTCCACTAAAAATCCTACATCAAATAATCCTCAAAAATACATCAATATCACTTTTGAAAATATAGTACAAAGTATTCAATCAGCAATTAACGCAATTAATTTCCCTATAATCAAAAATAATCATCTGCAATTTGATATCACAGGTCGAAATGCTAAAAATCAGCAAAAAAATGGCGCGAAAAGCAGTGGTTATTCTTGGCTATTCTTGGCTATTCTTGGCTGTTTTTGGCTATTTACGAATTAACCTATACTATTTGTAAATAGTTTATACAAATTTGCGAATAGTTTATGCGATTTGCGCCATTTTTTTTGCCTATTTTTGATCATTTGACGTGTGACAATTAGGAGGAGTAATCATAAGCCACAAATGATAAATCATATAAAAAGGAAGGATAGCGAATTAAAGGAACAAAAAAATAGGAACATGTAAAATATTAATGAACTGCAGCCGCAGTAGAAGGATAGCGGACGAGACGCAGTAGAAAAGATAGCACAGCCACAAAAGATGGATCTTTACGATATAATATTTGAGAGATTATTTTATTTTAAAGAAAAGATAGCACAGCCACAAAGATGGATCTTTACGATATAATATTTGAAAGATTATTTTATTTTAAAGAAAAGATAGCACAGCCACAAAAGATGGATCTTTACGATATAATATTTGAAAGATTATTTTATTTTAAAGAAAAGATAGCACAGCCACAAAAGATGGATTATATCTTTACGACATAATATGCGAAAGATTATTTTAAAGAAAAGATAGCATATTAAAATAGTATAACATATTAGAAAAGATAACATATAAAATAGCATATAAGATAGCGCATAAAAGATAACATATAAAATATTAGAAAGAAATAAGAAGTAGGAAAAGAAAGAATAAGAAAGTTGGTTTAAATAGGAGCGGAATGGGAGGTGAATTCCACAGTCGTCAGATACGATGTAAAACTTTAAGTAAATTAGTTAATTGTGAATTTTATGAAGAATAAATAAAATACCCTTTATATGAAAATTAATTGTTTCGATTGTTTTTGTTACTATTTTCTTATGATGAAAAAGTAATTTTGTTTAATTAATTGTTAGTAAAGCGTAATGTTATTTTAAAGGTAATAGGTTCGCCCTAAACTTTACTGTAATGTTCGCTTAATTAATTTTAATTGGACAAATTCATGGTGAATTTAATGTCATAACAAGAATTATGAAATGAATAAAATATAAACTTTTGTAAAGAGAACTATCGTATTTTGAAAGAAGATAATGGATGAAATATCGTGGCGAGAGCTATCGCAATTTGAAAGTTAAGTAGTAATAAAACTAAACCAAGCAAGAATATTAATGTTTCGTGGAGAACGAATATACATTAAAGCAGGGAAGCTTGTTTACCGCTGGGTGGCAGACGGGGGTGACAATTTGGTGCATGCTCTGAGAAAGGAAATGTTGACTTTACGTCGACATTTTGACTATCTTCATATAGTCAAGTACCTATGCGGTATTAAGAAGGAAACGGTTAACAACTAAGTGAATTGATCACTCGCGAAGGGAAAGATCGTTCCGATCATGGTACCGACGTGGTATTCTGAAGAATCTGAACTCAGAAAAAGAGGTATTAGAATTAAAATATAAGATTGGGGAAAAAGGTTGTAAGTACCTGAAAAACTTTAAAATGGAAACGGGCGAAATAGCGATATTATACACCTACCTTAGGAATTATAAAAAGAAGGATGCGGTGATATGATGGAATATAATGAACTCGTTTCAAAATAATAGATTTATTACAGGAAAATCCGGAAAGTATTGTAGTAAGTCACAAAAGTTGTCGTCTTTGAAGTTTTCGCGCTAATAATTGTAAAACCAAAAAAAAATTAAGGAAGCCCTCGTAAGATGTTGTATTCTGGGAGGGGCACCATTGTATTTTGCAGATGCCAGAAGTTCCTGGGGATACAATGTTGTAACGAAAAGTTGACGAGTAAGCTATAAACTCAAGGGTTACGTGGGAACCTGTTACCAAAACACAAGGGTTGCGTGGGAACCTATTTAAAACACAAGGGTTACGTGGGAACCTATTACAAAAACACCGGCTGTGAATATAACTTCTTCGGATGGGAATCGAAATAATTGGACTCAGACGTGAGTGGAACATCTCCCTACTGAAAGCATTTTGAGAATGCGTAACTGAATTCACAAGGCAAAAAGAGAAACCATTGTGAGTATAATTTCTTCAGATGGAACTGAAAGCATTGAGGGAAATGCGCAACTGAACTAATGAAAAGAAGATAAGTATTATGGGATAAAATGAATAGCAAACCTCGAAACTACTATACTTCATTGTGAAGGTAAAGGCAAGCCGAGTATAGGTTATTAAATTGTAAAAGATAATAAATAAGAAGAAACACCGTTAAATAAGTATAAATGTGTGTGTCGCATAAGTGTAGATGCGTGTGTCGCATAAAGTATAATATGTTGTGTGTCGACATAATGGTTATAATAAGAGTTAGTACAAGATTGAACAAAGAAGATATTTTGCGTAATATTAAATATATGGATGTAAAGATTACATATATAATGAAAAAGAACTAAAAATTCACGAACTTTAGAAGTTATGAGAATTTTTAAGTTCGTGAAATGCGAAAATTATAAATTTCGATGATAAAAGAAAATTTTGAGGCGCAGTAAAAACTTGGAAAATTTTTGAAATTTTTAGAATGCGCAGTAAAAACCTCCGCAGTCTGAGAAGATTGTGGACTTAAAATAATTTTTGAAATTTTAGGGCGCAGCAAAAATTAATGGTGAAATATGGCGCAGTAAATATATATATGAAGTTATGAAAGATAAGAATAGCAGAAGAAACTTGTAAAAATCAAAAAAAAAGAGGATTTAAAGATTGAAAGATTAACATAAGAATATTATGAATAAGTAAAAGATTTAGAAAAAAAAAATAAGTTGTTAAATGAATATTCATAATGAAAGAAAGATTATACATTCAATATAGGTAATAGGAAAGGACAATATAGTAAAGGATGGTTAGAAGATCAAAATAGAAGCGATAAAAATGATATATAAGAGAGCGGAATTTCAATTTGAATTCTGGATGAATATTTATAATAATTTAATTGGAGTATACGATGGAATGGTACCATCAATGGGAAAGTGAATATAGGTAGAGCTCCGCATGGGTCGGGTCGGGTCAGGTTACCTGGTTAACCCGAACCGATATTTTTTTTCGGGTCGGTTCAGGTCGGGTAACCTGTTCTGACCCGACCCGACCTGTTGACCCGAAAGTATTTGGGTTAAATTCAGGTCACTTTGGGTAACCCGGTTACTTCGGGTAAACCGAAAGGTTTTATAACTGAATTACTTAAAAAGATAGTTAAATTCACACTTATCCAAATTCTTAAATCAAAATTTTTACAATTTTAAAATTCAATCGGTTAGTTTGGATTATATTACAGCAAATGCCGAATCGCGTATTGACGTAACGTAATATATTTATACTGACGTTTGTAACTGACGTAATTTATTTTTTAAATATTTTATGTTACGTACAAAGAATTTTTTATTAAAAAAACAATAATAATTTTATCAAACATCTAACATTTCCGATCTTTACTAACAAACTTATAAAAAGAATTTCAAGTCCAATGCTATTTACTAAAGAAAAAAAGAAAAAGGGAACGTTGGTGACGTTCCAGTAAAATAAAAACTATTTCTGCCCCATTAACGTCACTGTTTGTTTCTTCAACTCCACCAGTAACAAAC